TACAACCAATGAAGCTATCGAGCAAGTTAATAAAAGTGAAATTCGGAGTGAGCCATATTCATTGCCAGAACAGTTTCATTGGGACACATTAAATTTGGAAGATCCCTTGGTTTTAAAGGAGCTTTACACACTTTTAAATGAAAACTATGTAGAAGATGATGATTCAATGTTTAGATTTGATTACCAACCACAATTTTTAAAATGGTAAGTACGAATATAGACAGAAATTAAATTTTAAATTCTGAAAATTAAATAATTATATTTAAAAAGGTGGTTAAATAAATAAAAAAATTGATTCTTAGTAAAACATTTGTCATAAAGTAAAAAAAAATTTTTCCACCAAATAAAATTAAAGTTTTTCTTCATAGTCGATAACGAAAAAAAATAAAATTTAAAGTTAATAATTGAAATCGTTCAAATGCAATTTACAAATTTAAAACTTTTGTGAACTGATTTGCTTTTTCTTTTTTCATTTGTAATTTTTTTTAATAATGTATTTTTTTTAATTGTAAAAAACAAATTTTTTATTTTTCTAAAGGGCTCTACAACCGCCAGGCTGGAAGAAAGAATGGCATGTTGGAGTTAGAGTTGAAAAAAATGATCGTTTGGTAGGATTTATATCGGCTATTCCTGCTCAGCTTAGAGTTTACAATCGGTGAGTATATTTTTTTAATTTCAATGTCCCGTTTTCAAAATGTAATTATATTAAAAAAATATTATTATTTCAGTACCCAGCAAATGGTAGAAATAAATTTTTTGTGCGTGCATAAAAAATTACGTTCTAAAAGAGTTGCTCCGGTATTGATCAGAGAAATAACAAGGCGCGTTAATCTTCATGGAATATTTCAGGCAGTTTACACGGCAGGAGTTGTCTTGCCAAAACCTGTAGGAACATGCAGGTAAATTACATATATATATAATGAAATAAACTATATGTTTAACATATATAAAATTTACTTAAATTAAATTATTTTTAAGGTACTGGCACAGATCTCTCAATCCAAAGAAATTGATTGAAGTTAAATTCAGTCATCTTTCTCGTAACATGACCATGCAAAGAACATTGAAATTATATAGATTACCAGATACAACAAAAACCCCAGGGTTTAGAAAAATGGTGCCTGATGACATATTAGAGGTTCATAAATTATTAAATAAAGTAAGTAATTATTACAAAAAAAAAAACAAAAAAAATTTCATTAAAATAAAAGGTTTTCTTTTTATTGTTTTTCTTTTTTTGTCGTTCGTTTGCGTGTCATGCTACAATCATCGAACGGTTTTTTTTTTTTTAATTTGACTACCATCTTTTTTATAATTTATTTTTATTGCGTTTTTTTTTTTTTTTTTATAATAATTTTATTATTATCGTTTTCAGTATTTAGAGCGATTCGATTTAGTCCCCGTATTTACCGTTGAAGAAGTTAGACATTGGTTTACTCCACAATCTGGTATTGTGGATGCTTTTGTAGTACAAGAAAATGGAAAAATTACTGGTGAGGGATGAAAATGGTGATGACAAATAAAATCATTAAAAAATTTTTTTTTAATTCCCTTTGGTTTTCTTTCAGATTTTGTAAGTTTCTACACATTGCCTTCTACTATAATGCATCATCCCGTTCATAAATCATTGAAAGCCGTTTACAGTTTTTATAACGTGTCCAACAAAACGCCGTGGACGGATTTAATAAACGATGCATTGATATCAGCTAAAAATGTAAGTTGTTGTAAAGTGCGTGTGTGCGTGTGCGTGTGCGTGTGCGTGTTATTTGCACACACTAAATGGCAAACTCGAGCTAAACATTTTTATGTATGTTTTTTTAATAAAATTTATTTAGGTCTTGTAAAGTATTATTTAAACGTATTCCTCCGATTAACAGTTCATTTATTTCACAACATTTTAAAATTTTTTTTTGTATATTCAACGAATAAATTTGCAGCAAATTATTATTATTATTATCATTATGTTTTTTTTAGATGGGTTTAGATGTGTTCAACGCTCTTAACATAATGGATAATAAAGAATTTTTGGAACCCCTTAAATTTGGAATCGGGGATGGTAATTTACAATATTATTTGTATAATTGGAGGTGTCCGGCTATTTTGCCTGAAAAAGTAAGTCAATCATTATCATCATCATGATATGGAGTTGTCGTAGTGATTAGCAATTTGAAAATTAAAATGATAGTTTTTTTTAAAAAATTATGTTTTGTCAAAAACAAAAAAAAAAGTGAATTTTCGCTTCAATTTTATTCCTTTTTTTTGTTTTTTAGATTGGGCTTGTTCTTCAGTAATATAAGTGCACGCTTTCAGCTTCAGAATCCCAGTAAAATATATTTTGCGTTTTTTTTTTTTTTTTTTTTTTTTTTGTACGCCGACTCTTAAACTGTATATCCCAGTTTAATAATATTATTTTATAAAAAATATATTTATCTTAATATACTGAGTTTTAATTTTTTTTTTTTTTTTGTTTTTCAGACCCTAAAACGTTTGTTTTTGTTGTTGTTTTCTGTATTTGTGCTGTATGAGGGGAGGGTTTTGATATTGCGTTTAACCTATTTTTTTATATTGTTTTTATAAAAAATTATTTTTTGCGCAAATAATGAAATAAAAATTGACCCTGGACCCTGTTTACAAACGGCGGAAGAATTCGGCGTGTTCAAATAATACATGAAAATTATGTTTATAAAATGCGCATAACATTGATCTGTCTGGGAATTTTAATTTGATTTCTAGATGAGCACATATTATATAGTCAACCGTCTGACCAGACAGATTATTATCAAATTTAACGATTCTCGTGATTTTTTTTACTTTCTTCGCAAATCAAGAAACGTTTAATTTTTTTTTTTTTTAATTGAATGTTTCATACACTTCCGTGGTTAGGTTTTTTTATCGAAATTTTTATGGATTTTTTTTTTTTAAATAAAATAAAACATAAAAATTAATGTAGCGAGTAAAATAAAATGTTTGTAGAAAACCCTTGAAGTTTGAATTTAGTATAAAATAATAATTATGCATCACAAATAATAATCAGTTAGCAATAATGTGCTTCACAATTTTTTTTGCAACCCTGGGGGTTAGAATTCCCATTAATATTTATACGCATTTTTAATGACGGGTATAAACGATAATCGATACAAAGGAAACGGAAATGGCAACTTAATTTTGATTAAATTACGTCATGTGACGTAGGAAATAACCGTTTTTAAGAGAATGGCGTCACTTGTAACTTTATCTTCATTTTTTTGATTAAATATATAAAGTTTTTTAATTGAAAATGGGGAAAAATATTAAAAATTAATGTAAATATATTAAAATTATTATAATTTACATAATATTTTGGAATTTTTTTGTTAAAAACAACATAATATCGTGAGATATTAGACGTTATGACGTAGTTTGTATAAATTTCAGTGATTTACATGTAAAAAAAATATAAAATTAAACTTCTTTTTTTTTTTAGGTAAATGATGTTTTCGTTATATAACAAATAAATTAAAATGTTTTTATACGATTATTATAAGAGAATAGCCTTGAATAATTCAGCAATGTATATATTTAGAGACGCAATAAAAATTTGGTGAAAGCTATTAGTGTGCAACTACATACTTAAAAAAAAAAAAAAATTTGGGAATTTTTTGCTTGCCTCTTTTTTTTTTTTTTTTTTTGTTTTGCAATTATAATTGAATTTTAAAATGTCTAGACACTAAAAGTAGATGGAAATTAAAAAGAGAGAGAGAAAATTCAGACGTGATTTGGACGTTTTTCCTTTTTTTTCTTGTCTAACACGTGACTTCCGATCATCTGATGTTAAACTTGTATGGTATTTAAAAACGTAAGAAGGCAAACTCCCTAAATTATTTTGGCTTTTTTTTTTTTTTTTTTTACGGTTTTTTGATTTGTGTCGGTCTCCCACTTATTAAGCATTAATTTTTTTTTTTCTTTTACACAGTCTGAAGGCAACAGATGTAATTTAAATACTTTTTTTTTTGTTTATCAATGGCAAAGAAGTCTGAGATCCTGCAGATATTGGTTGCCAAGTGTTATATGCAAGCAGTTTCTTCCATCATAAAAATATTACTCCTTTTGGCAGGTATAATTTTTTTTAAAATTTTACTGACTGCTACAGTGAAATACCAATAAATCAAATTTTAAAGCTTTAATTATTTTTCCAGTTGTTGTTTTAAGTTCTGCACAGACTACTCTCCATAAAAAATTTAAGGGGAAAAAGAATTTGTTTTTTATTAACATCCTTTTTATTTAAATAATAAACCAGTTTAATGGAAAGTAAAACAAAATACAGTTTGCAAGAAAAAAAAGTGGTGTTAAACATCCACTCTTCAATGGTAAATATTGTTTTGTTTATATTTAAAAAAATTCAACATTACAACAACAATAATAATAATAAATAAGAAAATGCCGGGCGAATCATTCATGGTAGACTTGTCTAGGCAAAAAACAATGATGAGTAAATTCTTGCAAGGAAAGCAAATATTGCAAATACCTGTATAAATGTTATATAGAAAAAAAAAAAAATTATTTTGGTACAGACAACATTTGAATTAACAATTATTTTCCAGGTCTGACTGTCCTATAATATCAAGTTTTGTTGTCTAGGCATCACATTTCACATGACAACATTGCCAGTGATGAAAAGATTTGCATACCTAACATGAAAATAATGATAATTTACACATTGTGTTTTTTTTTTTTTTTTTTTTTATGCTGTTGGCTTTAAAGAACGTGAATTAAATATTAATTAAATAGAAAACATTCAATGCAATAATCAATTAATATATTTGAATGAGTAAACAAAAAACAATAAATATTTTAGGGCAACTTTGTCAAAGAGGTAATGATGATATATGAGTAATGAAACATTTATTTATCAAACAGAGATGAATTTCATTCAAAAAAATAATAATAATATTATATAATCAATAAAATATGTCGTACATTGATTTTATTATCAAGTAAATCATCTTAAATTAACAAAAAAAGGGGAAATTTTTGGTTTGAATGAATTTCCAAAATGGATGAACACAACCATCCACAGAGAATACACTCTTAATAATTAATATTGTTATTATTATCATTTGATTTAATAAACATGTTTTTGTTTTGTTTTCAGTTTACTTTTAAAAACATTAAACAGGTGAGTAGTAGTGAAAAAAAAAACTATTAATGATGCTTTGTAAGTAATTGAAACAAAACCTCCAGACATAATAATTATAGTTTCTCCTTTCTAGGTTTTCTGTTGTTTTTGCCGCCTGTGACCTAGAAACTTGAAGCTGGCAATACGAGGAGAGTAGTTTGAGTCCCGACTCCTAATTTTTTTTTTTTTTTTTTCCATGATGAAAATTCGATACCTTCGGGCTTTCATACTACTACTACAACACCGAATGATAGATAAGTCATAAAATCAATTATATCTTTTTTATTATTATTATTATTATTATTATTTCTTTATATAATGATGGTAATTTTAATATTATTAATTGGGGGGTACATTTCCAAACGTTTTTACAAATCGGTAACATTAAAAAAAAATTTTATAGTTTAATTGTTAACTTTTTTTGTTTTGTTTTTCAATAGTTAAAAAAAAAAAAAAAAAAAAAAGAAAAGTTTTCGATCGTACAAAGAGCAATAAAATTTTTTTTTTTAATTTTATGTGTTTGAATTAACAAAAAAAAAAAAAAAAAAAAAAAGGATTTTTTTATTTAAACATTTTCTTCTCGTATATTTTATCTGGTTAGTTTTAGTAACAATTTATACTTTTAATGATGAGTCTATAATTAACTTTAGTATATGTATAAATATATAAACATATATTATATTGGAAAATTAACAGAGACGAGAAAGGTTATTTTGTTGTTGTTGTTGTAAACAATATTATTATTATTATTATTTTTATTACTATTAATCGATTTATTATTAGTAATAATAATATTAAAATATATTTTATCGTACTTAATTTTAAAATGCAAGTAAATTATATAGTTTGATATTAGCTAAAATTACAAGATGAAAATTTTTGAAAAATTTAATTGTTTTGTAATTACGGTCTATATTTTTTATACAAGTTATTTTTATGGCTTTTTTTTTTTTTTTTTTTTGCAAATTTTGCGTTGTTCGTTCAAGGTATTTAAATATTATTGCAATTTTTTAAAAAGGAATTTTTATTATATAAAAAATTTGTTCGTAAATTTTTCTGTCGTTGTTAAAAAATATAAAAATAAATTTGTTTTAAATCGAATTTGGTAATCGTTCGATCGTTTTAAATTTTTTTTATTTTTTTTTTTTTAAACTAATATTTGTCCAAAAAAAAATTTAATTTTGAATTTTGTAAATTAAAAAAAAAAAAATTGCATGCAAAGGATTTAAATGAAATTTTAATTAAAAAAAAAAAAAAAAAATGCAATTTTTTTTCGAATCTCGGCCAAAAGTAATAAAAATTACAATTTTTTTTTTTTTTTTGTTTTGTTTTTTGTTTAATGCGTTACAATTTTAAATTGCCTTTTTTTTTTTTTTTTTTTTTTTTTCATTTTATTTGTCAGTAAAAATTTGGCATTAAATTTAGTTTTCAAAATCAATTTAAAATGTTTGTACTAACCTAATTAGGAATTTCAATTTTTTTTTTTTTTTTTTTTTTTTGAAAAAAAAATGTTTATTTAAACATAAATTAATTGAAATTATTTTTTAAACATTTTTTAATTCCCCCCCTCCCCCCAAAAAAAAAAAAAAAGTTTAAGCAAATTTAATGTAAAAATTATTGTTTAAATAAGTTTAATTAATAAAATCAATTTTAATTATTTTTATCATTAATCAAATTTATTATATTTTTTTTTTTCAGGTTCAGGAAAAACTTTCTTCGAGGTACACGAATATACGTCACGAATGGAATTATTTTGGAGAAGGAACAGGGAAAAAAAAATTTACAACAACACTTAAAACTTATTAAAAGGGGATAAAAGAGGATAAAAGTTAACGTTATTTTTTTTCCTGTTTGAAAAACTATTTTAAAATTTTAATTGTTAATAATTAAATAAATAAATTTACATTCAATTGTATAATATAATAATAATAATAATAATAATAATTAAGAAGTGAAATTTAAAAAAAAAAATAAATAAATTCTACTACTACTACGATCGTTTGTTATCATAAAATCGTGGCAGCAAAAAAGGGTTTAAATAACTAAAAAAAAATCGTGTGTGGAGAAAATATTGACAAAAATTGTTTAAATATATATATATATAAAATTTCTTTTGCGAAAAGGAAACAAATAAAAAAAAAAAAAAAAAAAAAAAAAGAGTTTTTTAGTTTGGGAACACCCTGTTTGTAGAAATAAGTTTTAAAGTTAAATCGAGCCTCAATCGAGCTGTTGATCTTTTAGTTTCAATTTCACGCTGATTCTGTTTAGATCTTCAACTTCTTATATTCATCATCACTTAATTTTCATATATATATATATATATAAAGTGTTCATCGTGCGTGCGTTTATCTTATTTATTATTATTATTATTATTAGTATATAAACATATTATTATTATTTTGTGAATAAATATTATTTTTTTTTTTTTTTTTTTTTTTTTTTAATTAAAAAAATTTTTTTTTTTTTTTGGTATATTTTGGTAAGTTTTCCCATTATCCATATTTTTTTTATTATTATTATTAATTAATGTAATTTTTATAATTTTACGTCCCGGGTTTAAAAAATTTTAAATTTTATTTATTTATTATAATTTTTTTTTTTTCGAATTAAATCGTGATTGATGACGTAACAAATTTTTTGTGATTTTAGGTGATATTAAAAGGACAATGATAAAAAATAAAAAATTTGGATTTAATTCGTTTTTTATAATTTTTAAAATATTATTATTATTATTAATATTCGTGATAAAAACGACGAAATGCCGTTATTTAAAAAATGGAGATTTATCAAATGAAATATCAAATGAAAATATTCATCAAACAACAAACGTAGTTTTAGATGATGACGTAGATTTAGAAAATGTCGTTAAAGATTATTATGATGATTTGTGGCAGTACATAGAAGTGTCATCAATGAAAGGAGGAGAAAAATATAAGAAAAAAAAATTTAATAAAAAAGATGACGAAGATGTTAAAAAAAAATTAAATTTTCTCGATTATGATTACATGTCTGATCAACCTTCTGGAATAAATGAAAAAAATAATTTTAAGGTAAGTTAATATCCTCATTTTCGATATATCGAAATGTGAATCTCGAGTTAATTTAATTTTTTAATTTTTTTTTAGATTTTACCACCCGAAGAAAAAGAAAATTTAACAATTATAAATGGACCTGTTGTAAATGATAATGATGATAAAATTCAATTATCTGATGTATTGAGAGCCAATAGAGAAAGGTGAGTTTTTTTTTATTTTTCACCACGACACTCCCCCCCCCCCTCTCTCTCTCTCTCTCACTAGGACGTTAGTTAATTGATTTTGTTTTTAAAACTATTATAAACATTAGTATTATTATTATTATAATAATTTACGTAGGCGAATTAAATAATTCCCCATAATAAATCATCCCTTAAAAAAATTTTTTTTTGAGGGTAAGTAACCATAACCAAATCATTGTTTGAATTGATCTTTTAAAAATTTATTGAGCAGATGTTTGTAAACTTATTTTAAAAACATTGTGTGTCAAAGGTAACACAAACACACATCAATATACAAACAAAAAAAAAAAAAAAAAAATTTATATTTATATATGTTAGAGATATTTCTAGAACATGAGTTATTAAAAAAATGTTTTTTTTTTTTTTTATCGAAACTTTAAATGTACATTTAAATGTATGAATGACGACTCTATTTATAAATTTATGTCTGATTGGAATTGGGAAAAACAAAACAAACTTTTAAAAAAAAAATAGGTTACTGCGATTTAATACAAATTTGTTTATCCAATATTATTATTATTATTACTACTACTATCGTTATGAGTATTATTTACAAAAAAAACTATTTAAAAACAATGTAAACATTTTTTTTTTTTTTTTTTTGCTTTGTTTTCACGTGGGCACAGACGAACAACACAATTTGTTTACAATATATATAAAAAAAAAAAGTAAACAAACAAATAAAAAGTCATTGATCTGTCTTGTTTTTCCCCCCCGAAAAAGCGTGAAAAAGCAAAAATGATGATGATGATGATGATGATGAATCGGGGAAAAAAAAAATTTTTAAGATTTAATCAGTTTTTGTTAATCTCATCATGTCAGATTCATCTCGACAATACGATTCATAAAAAAAATTTTTTGTTTATGTTTGCAAAAATAAATAATAATAATAATAATAATAATAATAATAATAATAAAATTGAATATGAAAATCGAAACCGATTATGCGAAAATGATCGCACGTAACTATAATTTAAATAAATAAATAAATAAATAAAAAATTTATTCATCATCGTTTAAGGCTACTAAAAACAAAAACAATAACAAAACATGTTGTTGTTTATGTTAAGATCAATAATAATAATAATAATTCGTCGGGGTATTTAAAAATCAATCGACCGGAAATAAATAATAAATTTAATACAAATTAAATTACCGATAATATTTCAATTTACTCTACACGATTTTATTTAACTATATATATATCATTTGCGGGGAGAGACGGGGAGGGGGTCTGGGGGTGAGGGTGGGATGGGGGGAAGGGGGGGAAGGAAATGAAAAATGAGGTCAAAAAAAAAAAATAAATGAGAGCTTTTTTTTAATTAATTTAAGACCTAATTTTTTTAGGATTTGAAAATAGTACTGATAAATGATATGAGATCAATTTCATCAGACGGGTTATTTTGAAATAAATAAATAAATAATAAAGTAGAAAAAGAAGGTAATTTTATGCTATTGGCGAGTAGTATGATGATGATGATGATGATGATGATGATATAGGGAAAGGAGGGAGAGAGACAGAGATAGAGTGAGACTTCCTGGAAAACCGATACGTTATTCCTGACAGTTGTAAATAGATAGTTGTTGTAACTTTTAATTTCATTCTTATTTATTTCAATGTGAAAAAAGGACAGACACGAAATCAGCATATTTGAGATGTAGAAAAAGAGAGAAAAGAGAGAGAAGAAAGAGAGAGAGAGGGGGGGAGGGGAGAAAGGGAAAAATTTTTTAAATAAAATATTATATATATGGGTTTCAAATGAATGGCAAACGAATTCGATCTCATTTTTGTCCGAATCTCTCTCTCTCTCTCTCTCTCGATTTTCAATCGCCATTTACAATTCCGTTTGTTTGTTTGTTTGTTTGTTTACACTTATAGTAGAATTTAAAACATATTCTAAAAGATATTTATATATATATATATTGTCTGATTATTTATTATTTTGTTTGTTTTGGCGTTGTTTTTTTTTTTACAGAATTTTCTAATACGCCGAATCGTTTTTTATTTTAAATTGAAATTTATTTATAATAAAAATTTAAATTTAAATTTAAATTTCAAATAGATTTAAAAAATCTGTTTGTGTTTTTTTTTTCTACGCGGAAATCATTACCTAGGTTACCATTTTTGTTCGTTTGTTGCAAACAAACAAATGATAAATATCAATCGAGTGTTTTCGATTATATCGAATCGACATTATTATTAGTTTTATTAGCAAAAACAAACGATTACGTCACGGGAATATAAATTAAAATAAAATTTTAAAAAATGATAATAATAATAAATTGGAAGAGAATAATAATAATAATAATAATAATAATGGGAAAGTTTTTAAAATTGAATTTATTTTATGGAGAGAATGTTTGAAAATGAGTTTTTAACACGTAATTAAAAAATTGTAGAATAAAAAAAAAAAAAAATTTTAATTGTTTTTAAAAAACAACGACAAACAACAAACAACAAACAATGAAAATAATAATAATAATAATATATATGTATATATGTAAAGTTTAAAAAAAAAAATTTATTGTTTTTTTAAATTAAATTATGGTAAAAATATTCCTTTTTTTTTTTAAATTCGCCAACGGTTTTTATTTATTTATTTTTTCAATGTTGGTAACATGAATGATCGATATTTTTTTAATGTTGGTAACATTCGATGATGACGTATTATTTTTTAAAAAAATTTTAATTTAAATTTTTAATTAACATAATTTATTTATTTGAAATTGTTTTACGTTCGTGAGTTTTAATTAATGTTACATATTTATTTATTTATTTATTTATTTATTTATTTATTATTATTCATCACAATTTGATTTTTTATTTATTTATTTTTTTCTAATTTTCAGTAATTCTGAAGAAGAATTCGCACAAAGGTAAAACCGAAAAACAAACAAAACAAAAAAAATTAAAAATGTTCGATTGTGTTGTTTGATTTGATAATAATAATAATAATAATAATTTTTTTTATTGATTTTTATTTATTTAATATTTATTAATAATAAATTTACTCAACCTTTCTATAATTTATTATTATTATTTATTAATAATAATAATAGTTTTGATTGTTGTTTTATTGTTTACATAATAATTGATTGATTTTTTTGTTTTTTTTCCCCCTGCCCCCCCCCACCTTATAAACGTTATAAATTTATAAAAAGCATGGATGTGTGATATTTATGAAAAATAAAACATATTTAAAATAATAATAATAATAATAATTAATTAATTAATGAAGCATGCGGAAATGTGGAATGACGATGAGTGATGATGCTTTTTTTTTTTTTTGGTGTCTTGTTGGAAAATTATTTGGTTAAATTTGTTCGATGAATTTTTTTTTCCCAGGAGTAAAGAAATGAGATTGAGATCGATAATTAATCAAGTATTAAGTTTTCGAGGAGGAAGTCCAAAAACAAACGAAACAATACCGGATATAAAACATTATAACGCATTGAGGGAAATATACGAGAAAAATATGAAGAAAATTAAAAATGAAGATTGGACGGCTTCGTATACGGAAAAAGTTCAAAGTTTTTATCCATCTTGTAAGAATTTTCTTCTCTATTAATTTTCTTTTTTCTCGTTTTTCCTTTTTTAATTTTGTTGTTGTGATTAGGTGACGTTCCGAGGAACACAGATGAAGATGTTTGGTTCGATCCATATTCTATGAATCTTTTATTCGATTTAGTTTATCCTAATCCACCGGAAGATTCGACAATTATGATCGTTTCTGCAAAACTTCGTTTATATAAACTTCCGCAGGTAGGAATTTCCTCCCCCCTCCAAACAAAGAATTTTCCTTCCTTTTTATTTCGATTGTGAATTATTAACGGTTGAAATTTTATTTTCGCAGGAAAATTTTTCACTACCGAATTCCGAATCTCCAAATACTAAAACGAAAATTGATAAAAATCATGGAAATTTAGGAGTTTTACCCGGTGATGAAGACAAACAAATTCGCGTTTCCGTTTATTGGTATACAAGATCCCTTCGTCGACACAGGGGTAAGTTTTTTTACAACAAACAACAAACCAAAACATTTTAAAATTTTTCTATTAATTCTTTTTTTTTTTTTTTTTAGCAAAAAAGAAACTTTTGGACAGTCAAATGCTTTCTGCATTTTCTCCAAAATGGGCTGAATTTAATATAAGAGCTGCCGTTAGAACTTGGAAAGATTCTGGAAGAAATTTTGGTTTGGTTGTTACCGTCGAAGATGAAGATGGAATTTTACTTCCGGCGGAACAATATATACAATCAATGAATTGTTCCAAATGGACGGGTAATAATAATAATAATCATTTAAAATAAAATTTTTAACTTTTTTTTTAATAAATGTTTTATTTATAGCGACGGTTCGACCCGTACCATCCATAATAATGGATAAAGCTCATCAATATTTCGTTGAAAATTCGGCAAAAAATAAAAGCGAAGAAAGGAAAGAAGGAGAAGAAGAAGATAAAGAAGGCAACGTAGAAAAAGAAAATGGTCAAATTTATCCATACGAACCCTTATTATATCCCATAATTGATTTACGAATGAGAGAAGTACCCAATTCGGAAGTTAAAAATTTAGCTTTGGTTAATTCAGCAAAAATGGCACTCGAAACGAAATTTTTAAATTTATCGAGGAGAGGAATTAATTTAACGAATAATAGTTTTGCAATATTTTTAAAAAATTACAATTTGGAAAGATCGAAACAAGAAGAAGAAGAAGAATCATCATCATCATCATCATCATCCAATTTTTATAAAATTGATAAATCTATGATAAAAACAACGGATTTGAAACAACGATTCGAGAATAAGTATTTCAAAATGTACCCATCGGTCTCCGTCGACAAATTAATCACAATATATTATTTTCACTCGTTCAAAAGAAAAATCAAACCGGATTTGATGAAAAAGAAATAAATAAAAAATTAAATGGCGAAACATTTAAATTAACTCAAACAAATGTTGAAAAATATGAGGACGATGAGAAAGAAATGCCCAGAATAAGACACAATAGAAAACAATGGTGAAAATGGAAAAAAAAAAACCGTTAAAAAATTTGTTTTTGTTTTTGTTGTTGTTGTTGTTGTTGTGTCGTTTGTCGACGTCATCGTCATCGTCGTCGTCGTTGTACATAATTAATAAATATTGGGCCTTCTCACGATCGATTATTTTCATATTTATTTAATTATCATTAACATAAAAAAAAATTTTTTTTTTTAAATTTAATAAACGAATTTTTTTTTTTTTTTTTTTTTTATTGTTAAGACTGATTAATATTTATTTAACAATTATTATTATTATTATTATTGTTTTAAACAAAATCGATCAACAAGAATTTGTATTTCTTTTAAAAAACAATTTTGTGTTTGTAAGTTAGTTTGTTTGTTTATATTGTGTGAATGAAAAAAAAAAAAAAAAAAAACATTTTTTGTAAATTTTTTTTATGTTATTAATAAAAACTTATTTATTTAAAATTATATTTGATTGATTAGTAAACATATCGTAGTACATAAAAAAGTTTAAAGATATGTAAATGATAATAATAATTTTGTTCTTTTTTTTTTTTTTTTTAAAAAAAACTTCAATTATATAAAAAAAATTTTTAATAGGTTATCTTTTATGCGAATTTATTTATTTAAAAAAAAAAAATTTTATAGTAAATTATATAAGAAGGACAATCACTCTTCTGTCGTGATTTTTTTTTTTTAAATTAATTAATTAATATATGTCATTATCATTTTTAAAAAAAATTATAATCACACTTAAGTGATTATTATCTAGGCGAGGAGTACTGATAATAATAAAATGATAAATTTTATTTAGAACTCCTTGAATTATAAAAAAAAAAAAAAATTCTGTTTTTTTTAATAAAATTGCTGATTTTTATTTTTTTTGTATTGTTTGGCATTAATTGTTTTTTTTTTTTTGATTAATTAAATTATTTTCAAGTTTTTTACTGTCAAAATATTATTATATAAAATTTAAAGTGTATGCTTACTAGTTTTGAATCGTGACATAAATTAATAATTATTTAAGGTAAATATCAAAACGAATAGATACACGTAAAAAAAAAAAAATAATAATTTTTTCCCAACGTTTTTTTTACTAGTAAACAAAATCCCCAGGTAAAATTATTATTATTATAACCTAATAAAACACTATCTTGCTTAAAAAAAATTTGCTTATCCTTATTAATATTTTATCGATTTGAGTTTTGAATAAAAAATAACGAAACTCGTGCTTCGTCGTTATTTAATTAAAATAAAATAAAATAAATCATCCAAATGTAAACATTCATTTGGGAAAACGACCGCCATAATTATTATCGTTTCACCGGAAACGACAACCGACTGACAAAAGCTTCGATTTTTTGTTTTCGTGTGTGCGACAATCGAGGTATGCCAACGCCATAAGCTAAACATAGGCGGAACAATTTACGGAAAAGAATCGATAAATTCGCGTGAGGTAATCACGTTGCAGTTGACCAAGGTCGTTTGAGCTGGAACATTCTCGAAAATGACTGACAGTATTATTATCACCTTCATCAGTATTATTATTTCATTAAAACCGTAAGAAATAAGTAAATAATAGAGTTGATATATATTTAATATTATTTTTTAAAAGTCAAGTGCTATTTATATATATAAATAATTAAAACAAGAGTGAAAAATGTAAGTAAAATAAAAAAGAAAAAATCTTTTCAAATGATCCGTTATTTTTAGCGCGTTTGTCGTCAGAGGTGTTGTTCGATTTCGTTCTTTTTTCAAACGGTTTTTTTTTTTTCAAAAAATTTTTCTTTTTTTCGTTGAAAAAATTACAATTTTAATATTTCGAGTGTAGAATTAAACGTGATGTTACAAACACATTTACCTTTTCGTTTTTATAAAACGGTTAAATAAGAACTTATAAAATAAAAAAGGGTTTTATTAATTCTAATGATAATAATAATAATAATAATGACTAATAAAACAAAAGTGCTTTTATAACGAATGAAATTTTTTTCTTTTCTTTATTTCATCGTTTTTATAATTTTAACGTTGTTTTACGTTTTACAATAATAATAATAATAATTGTTTTTTGTTTTTTAATGACACAATAAAAAATTCGTTACGTATGTAAAACACATTTTTATTGGGACAAACAATAATTTTTTTGTTAAATTTTAATTTAAAAAATTTAAAAAAAATAATCAAGTAAATGTGAGAGAGAGAGGAAAAAAAGTCGTTTATTGATTATAATTAAAACAGTAAAATTGTAATTTTTTAATTGTTCTTAATAAACCAACGGAAAATTATTTTTAAAAAAACTGACATATTGACTTTTTTGCTGATGGATGCTCTCTCTCTCTCTCTCGCCATTTTTATTTAACTATGACTCGTTATAATTAAACTTCCTTCGATTATTCGAAATTTTTTTTTTTTTTGGGTACCCAGGTACGAGTATCATGAGTACGAAAAAACAACTGGGGTGGGGGAGGGAATATTATTATTATTTTAAAAAAATCACAAGCGAAATGATAATGATGATGATAATAAAATAGTAGGAAACGCTATTCGAACAGGTGATTTCGAATTATTCAAACGACGAAAATGGCCGTTAAAAAAATCTTGATCGATATTTTTTTTTTTTTTTAAAAATGGCATTGAGAAATTTTTTTATTTTTATTTTGACAATGATAAAAAATTTCGAAAGGTCACGAAAAACAAAAAAATAAAATTTGCTGCAAGAAAATTTTATTTTTTTAAAAATAGAAATCGAAAAATTTTGGCTTCATTTTTAAACTGTTGCAAGAAAGAGAAAGGCACGCGTTTTTTACTTTTATTTATTATTATTATTATTATTTTTTGGCGGGATTCGAAATGATTTGAATGAATGGGAAAATTTGGCAATTTTAAAAGTTCGAATTAATTTAAAAATGTTTAACAAAAAAAAAAAAAAAAATTTCGACGAGGTTAATCGAAACAACAATTGAAAAATTTCAAAAAAAAAATAGTGATAATAATAATAATAAAATTAATTTTTTTTTTTTTTTTAATGTGAATTGTCATTTGTTCAGTAATTATCATCATTATTATCATCGTCATCTTCTTTAAAGTAGAATTTTAATCGATTTTTTATGTGAATAATTAGCAAAAATTTAAAAATAAAAAAAATTTATATTATTATTAATAAAACTAATTTTTTTTTATTTTTATTTCAGGGATCCAGATGATAATTCCAACACGTCAAAATCCTTCGGGATAAACAGGAATTCAAATTTAAAATCACCCGTTGAAGACGGTTCGAGTACAAAGGAAACAACCGTTAACGAAAATTCAATTAATGATAATAATTGTGATAACGACGATGGCGATAAAAAAATTAAAGGTAAGAAAATTTTCGTTTGTTTGTTTGTTTGTTCTTTTACTTTGGTAACGTTTGAAAATGATTATAAAATAATGTAGAGAAAAAAAAGAAAAGAAAAGAAAAGAAAAAGTTTCAGGTTGATTAACAAACAAAGAATATGTTCAGAACACAGAATAATCAGTAACGGAAACGAATAACAACAACAACAACAACCAAACGAGTTGTTATTTTAATTTTTCATGTTTATAATTAAATTGTTTTGATATCCGATTCTAAAATATTTTTATGCGGAAATGGTTGGATTGATAAAAGAAAAAGCAGACGAAATAAAGAAAGAAAGAAAGGCGTATACGATATTGACAATAATTTAACTACGAATAAAAATCATATGAAAAGTTTGCAAAATAATAATAATAATAAAAAAAAAAAAATTAATTTATAAAATTGTCGCCATTTAATTAAGAGTAATTGTCATGACGTAGAAACATTTCGACGGCATAAAAGTCAAAATAAAATAAATGGACAGATTATTTTTCACTCACACGAAACCCTTTTATGACTACCAACATGATAAAAAAAAGAAAAAAATGTGCTTAGTTTGATGAAATTTTTGCAACATCAGTTGGTATCATTTATCACACTAAAGGAAAGTGAAATTTTTTTTTTTTTTTTAATTTCAGACCAAGATAAAACGGTTATCAAAGTGCCAAATTGTAATTATGGAAAAGAAAATGGTGGCCTCGGTGGAAAAGGTTCAAATCCATATTTGAAATCACCAACGGATGAAGAAAATGAAAGTAACAGGTGAAAACTATTTCTTTTTTTCAATTTTATTTGGTGACGTTGTTATTATCATTATTATCATATCACAAAAATTGTCTTCTCACTTCTTCCCGTTAATTGATTATATTTGTTTTCGTAGAGAAAATTAATTGGTTTCTATTAATCGATGTTGATACGATGTTAAAAGGATGTTTTTCTTTCTTTTTTTTTTTATCAGCGTTTTATTTATAGAGTCACTTATTATTATTATTATTATTATTATTATCAACCGGAAAAAACAACAACAACACTAGGTTGATTTTTTTGACTGTGAAAGTTTTCGTACATAATATGCAAATTTACAATGAAGGATTGATTGATTGATTGATTTCGATTGATTTGCGACCTAGTAAAAAAACTAATAAGGAGGAATCAATCGTCAAATATTTATTTTGAATATTCAGGGTCGTATCAAAGAATTTTAAATATATATTTATATACATTAGTTAAATACTAACGTTTGTTTTAACAAACTTTTAGTCTCGTACGACAAAAAAAAAATTAATTAGTTGTTTGTTTTTTAACTTACATACATACATAAATGTTTGTACGTTTGTTTAAAGGGTATTCGAAACAAAAAGAAAAAATAGTTATGATTGATTGTTGTTAATTGGAAAAAAGGCCGTTATTTACCATAAGAAATATAATGCATAATAATAATAATAATAAGTTGTAGTGAGTTTGCATTTTTTTTTTCACGAAATTTATTGGATGGGTTTTGGAATTTCTTTTTAAACGGTTGTTTTGAATTTTTTATTTACTGGTAATTTTGTTGTTGTTGTTGTTGTTGTGATGCGTAGTACATGTCGTGTTCTAAATTACATCCGTGTTAAGATTTTTTTCTTACTCCGAGGCAAAACAATTTTATGAAACATTAAAATTGACCACCATCAATTAATGTTGAAGAGAGATATTTCGTGCCAAGTAATTTCTTTGCCTTTTTCGACATAAATTTTAGAATTAAAAAAAAATTATTTCGAAACTATATATCCGTAATGAAAAAG